ACATACATACATATATATATATATTTAGATGTATATATATATATATATTATACATATGCATATTTGTTCTACAACAACAAACGCTATACGTATATGCATGCATGTGGTTTTGATGTATATGTTCATAAATTCATATAATTAATACATGTACATACTAATATACATTAACATATGCAACAGTTATTGTTCAGGGCGAAGTGCTCGAAGTTAACTATGGTTCAGGCGAGTGCGTAGTGATCTAGAATAATGCCATAGAAGATATGTCCAAAAGTTGGCAAATATATACAGACATAGATGCACCCATCCACACGTACATGTGTTCGCAGATAAACACACACACATACGTGTAGGAAATAACGTATTACATGCATACATACATGTCCTACATACATACATGTCTTACATACATACAAGTACATACATACAGACATACATACATATATACATACATACATACATACACACATACATACATACATACATACATACATACATACATACATACATACACACATACATACATATATTCATACATACATAGAACATATGCACACACTCTCCAGCCCACATACATACCTGAAAGTATTCTGTGAGGTTATCTGCGTAATGGGGGAGAGGTTGGGGTGTGTATAGTGCGCCATAACTATACCGCAGAAGAGTATCGCCATTATCCCACTCAAGTCCAGAGCCTCTGCCAACCAGTACGGCAAGTACGCAAACACGCACACGATGCTGAACTCCAGAGAAGGCGATTTGTGTAAGGCCACGTGTTTTGTCACTAGTGCGGAAATAAGTCCTGAGAGGTGGTGTGCGGATAGGAGGTTAGGGGATGTTTAGAGGTTAGGTTTTATGGACGATATATCAAAAGAGGGTGATTGTCTTGCGAAGTACTTAAGTATATACGTGGTATGTATAATCTATGTACGTAGTATACATAATCTATGTACATAGTTTATATAATCTATGTATATAGTATATATAATCCATGTACATAGTATATATAATCTATGTACATAGCATGTATAATCTATGTACATGGTATATATAATCTGTGTACATAGTATATATAATCTATGTACATAGTATTTATACTCTATGTACATAGTATATATAATCTATGTACATAGTATATATAATCTGTGTACATAGATTACATACGTATATAGTATGTATATGTACCTTTATATGCATAACTAGTTGTCATGTGAATTATTGTCTATGTACATAGTATATATACGTATATAGGGGATGCTTGTGTGTGTAAGTGTACCGAACTTTATATACACATTACTATTAATGTATATATTTTATATACGTAAACTCAACGTTTAATTACTTTACATGTATATTAATTTTAATGTGTACAGTATATATACATAGACAACGTTTAAGTACTTTATATATACATTACTATTGATGTATATAGTATATATACATACACTCAACGTTTAATTACTTTATATGTACACTACTATTAATGTATACAACATTTATACACAGACTCAACGTTTAAGTACTTTATATATACAATAATATCAATGTATATAGTATATATACACAGATTCAACGGTTAATTACTCGATATGTACATTTTTAGAAATGTATATAATATATATACATAGATTCACCGTTTGATTCAATCCCATGTGCATTGGTATAGAATCCCGCTCACAAACTTCAATCAGCGCAGATACGTTCGTAGCTATATCATACTATAACACACACACACACACACAAGTACATCTCTTCCCCAACATACCCGAAATGATACCCAGGAAAGCCGACCCAAAGCCCATTACAAAGAAGATACTAATCGCACGGAAAAAGGTCCCCATATTCACCTCTCCTTCATCAGCAATTGTCAGTAGTGTGCGGGTGGCGACTATGGCCTGTGTTGAGGCGGCGTGTAGGTACACGAATGAATGTCGTATGTTGTCAGGAACGTGGCATGTACATACAGATAACTGTTTGTACTCATGAGCGTATGATTGGTAGAATGTGCATATACACGCGTTGTGTGTAGTTTTCTTGATATGGTAGTTGTGTCTATCTGGCGATTACTTAACCCTAAACCCTAGCCCTATAATCCCGAAGTCATATGCCCACATTCACTCCCCCTTCATCAACTACTGTCAGTTGCGTGCGAGTGGCGACAATGATCTGTGTATGAGGGCTAAGTGCTTGTGAATAGAGGTGCATGCATACATACACACTTAGATGCATATACATATATACTCTCATCATACATACATACACATATGTACATATACTCTCCTCATACATACATACACATATGTACATATACTCTCCTCATACATACATACACAAATGTGCATGTACCGTTCTTATACATACATACACATATGTACATATACTCTCCTCATACATACATACACATATGTGCATGTACCGTTCTTATACATACATACACCTATGTACATATACTCTCCTCATACATACATACACATATGTACATATACTCTTTTCATACAGACATACACATATGTGTATATACCGTTCTTATACATACATACACATATGTGCATGTACCGTTCATATACATACATACACATATGTGCATGTACCGTTCTTATACATACATACACATATGTACATGTACCGTTCATATAAATACATACATACACATATGTGCATGTACCGTTCATATACATACATACACCTACGTACATATACTCGCCTTATAAAATACATACACGTATATGCATGTACCTTTCTCACATATTAATACCTGCGAGTGTGTACAACCAACTGCTTCACCCAAACATACCACAGCATCGTTAAGGACGGACTCCCCAAAGACCAGCGCCTCCAAAATCTGGTCCACTTTTAATGCTTTGAATATGGCCAAGGTGGCCACTAAAATTAGGAACGGAGAATTATTTAGCGATTAGTGCCAGGCTCTACATAGCCACTAAAAATAGGAACGGAGAATCAACTAGTGTTTGACTAAGTCCTATACTCAACACGTACAAGGATATTCAAATCACACTCCACGTATATGCCAGGCACAGACAGATCAAGACCACACACTCACTCACAAAGAGACACACTATATATATATATATATATATATATATATATATATATATATATATATATATATATATATATATATATA